CTTGAGATTTATTTCTTACAATTTGACACAGGACTAATTCATAATGCAGCACTTTTTTTGCCAGTGCTTTGCAATAGCCCATTATCTCTAATATATGTCACAAACATTCTACCTGTATTCACTGTCAAAGCTATTGTCGTCTTCATCAGATATTGTAAGTGGGATATCTGCTGCATTTCTTCCTTTATCTTGCACAAATTCTTCATCCACTCCAGCTTGCCGCAATGCTTCACGGTACCGTCTCTCAGCTACACATGTAGCATTTTTCTAAAACAAAAAAACCACAGTGCTGAGGAGAGACCTATGCTGCATACTCTTGTGTAGGTGTTAAACAATTTTCAATCTTCCATTTAATTATCTCTCATTTCCTTTCCTGAATGCATTGACTTCCTTGTTTAATAGTTTTAATAGTTGTGGTAGGTGATGATCACCTCTGTGAATTTCACTTGTGACCATTCTTGCAATATCCTCTTGACAGGTTATTGATCTGAAACATTAACTGTTTTGTTTGCCACAAACGATATCTGACCTTTTGAGTATCTCTAGCATTATCCGTCTTTTATTGCAGATTCCCAACACACAGTATTTTGGTTTTATATACAAAGCTTTGATTTTTACTGCTTGCAGCCATTTACTTGCTCACCTGACTGACTTGCTCGAAGAGGAAGGGTCTGCTACGGACTCGCCTCTTCATCTCCTCCATTTCCTTAATATATTCTTTCTTCCTCTTGAGATCTCGCTGTCTGAAAATGAAGCAACAAATCGATCAATTAGAATTTGAGAACACAGAGGTTTCACAAACTACAAAAGGGACATAAACGACCATCTTTGGTTTTGGCTCACAGAGGATTGTTACTTTTAGTGTTACAAGTATTGCCAACTGATTGTTTACATCCAATTCAACAGAGATATAAAAATATGCATAGTTACTCTTAGGTATACATAGAAGGTAACAAATTTTATTATATTACTGATATTACAACACACCCTTATTTCTATACAGAAAAGCAGTTCAGCAAAATCCGAACAGACCTATACTGCTTCAATGTTTTTTTGTAGGTCTCTGCTAGGCTTTGATGAGGGTCCATAGCTTTAGCCCGTGTCAATATTGTTTTGCTCATGCCTTGGGTATTAATCTTGTACTTCTCTGTCCATTGAGCTTTCTCTAGCTTTTGTTTGTCACGTTCTTCTAGAGATTTTCTATGGGATAAAATCAGATCACCATTTAAAAGAGCACAAACACAGCAATGCGTCCTGGTACTTAAAGTGATTGTTCTAATGTAAAAGAGTACTCATCTTTCTATTCTTTCTACCAGCCATCTTCCTTGTTAGTCTTAACAGATCTTAGCATAATTAGCTGAAAGAATGACCACAACAAAATCAAGAGGCAGAGTTAACAATGCAAGAGTATAGGAGTGTTAATTTTCTTACTTTGTATACCACACACTATTTCCACATCAAGACCATGATGTGCTTTTTTTTTCCTCCAATCTCCAGTTATTATCTCCACTGGGCAGGATCAGACTAGTCATAGATTTAAAGTTTATTGATCTGGGCTACCACATTCCTACTGACCCACAGAACTGTCAAAAAAGGACTTTCCTCATTTTCGTTCTTTGTCTCCTTTTAATTCTCAAGTTTCCTGGTGCCAGCAAAACTGGCTTAAAGATAAAAGGATTATTAAAATGGAGGCGCACAGTCTTTTTAAAAGGGTTTTACCAACTGAATCTCAAAGACTCAGACTTTTGGTTGTGTACCTCCATTAGAACCACAAGTTGGCAGGGCCTTGTTAGGTTTTAAGCATTTTGGGTCAAAAGTTAAATACAAACTCAACTCACCCTGTCCTTCCCTGATAACTGAGGGAATTACCCAACTCTCTCTGCTGTATCCAGGTGTAAATTCCAGTGCCCCTCCTGATTGCTCACTCAGTGCAAAACATTAGTGTCCTGTTTGACTGTGAGTAAAGTGGAGCTTCAAATGCATTATCTGAAGCAGTACTTCTATGACATTGACAGTGGCTGAGTTAGCAAAATAGGCATAGAAAATGCCAATCATGCCTTTCAGAACTTAGGCCTCGTTTTCTTCAGTGCCTCCTCAGCTTCATTCAGTTTGTAGAATTTCAATGCATTTATAATCCTGTCAATGTATGCTTTCATTTCCCAAATTCCCATCATTCCTGTCCTTGCAAACCCAGTGACTCACTCATTTTAACATCATCATTCACGTTTTACATTGTTACTCTAACTTCTCTCTATCATATTGTTTATCTCTATTCTCAGCACGTCATTCTTCTGATTGCGGTCTATTGTGTGTTACTACTTCTCACAGTCCACCCTCAGTAGATGGATACTCCTGGAATCAAGTTTCTGCTCCGGACCTCTATTACTAAACTCCTCCAATTCACATTTCACCTTTAAAATGCTCCTCAAACATAATAGCTTCTACTGTGCCTTCAAATTATCTGGATTGTCTCTCTTTTCTGACTTAGTGTTCTTTAAATTCCTGGTAAGCATGGTGGGCCATTTGTTTTTGAAAATATTCTGTATAAGCATTGTTGTATAAATGATCTTAAATTTAAGATGACATCAAGTTTAAGTTGTTGTTGGCTACTGAGCGTAGATTGCAGTTGGCTTATAAATAAATGTGATCTGTTGTTGGCTGTCATACAAGAGTATGTTATTGTTGAGTGTTTAAGTGTAAGTTGTATTTGGCCCCTATGATTCTGTTGTTATTGGCAGTAATAGAACTTTAACTTGCTGTTGTTGGCTGTTACACAAATGTGTAAATTGTTGAGTTTGGCTATCATCAGTTGTTGCTGTAACACAAGGTGTTGGTTGCCATGTAAAAGTAAGTTGTTGGATATTCCATAAGCATGAGCTATATTTGGCTGCTGTTTAAATGGTAGGTGTTATTTGTTGCTATACAAGTAAACAACCGATGTAGTTGCCCATTGATTGGTACAAGTTGTTGGCTTTCTCTCCAAATTTGTCTTTTCCAGGAAACCTGTTTCCCCAAATCTATTTCAACCAAACTGCTGACCAACCAACTTTTCTTTCTGGTCCACATTAGCTAATATTGTTATCTATTTCCTCTCCTCAGGTACTGTCCTGCTCTTCAAATCTGCCTGCATCATACTTCCTCAAATAATATCATCATTAACCGCTCTGCCCCTCAAACTACTGCAAATATCCTCAATGCAAGACAAAATATTGTGTATGCTGGAAATTTGAATTATAAGCAGAAAAGGCTGGAAGAATTCACACCAATTCCCATTGTGGATTCTTAGCTGCCTTCTCAGATGGCTTAGCAATCCAGTCAGTTGTATTCAGAAAAAAAGTTTCCCAACAACACCTTCAGGAGGACATATTCAATCAGGAGAAACACTGGCAGATTAAGTTTAATGTCGGGAAGTGTGAAGTGATTTATTTTGGTTGGAAGCAACATGGTAATTAAATTTTAAAGGACTTTCAAGTATAGAAAGATTTGAGAATAATTGCGTACACGTTTTTGGAGGTTGTTCAAAAGACACACATGATCTCCTGACTTTATGAAGAGTACAAAAACCAAGAAATCTGTACTAAATGTTTTTCATCATAGCAACCAGCTCAGAATTTTTTTTTTCATATTTTCATAGAATCCCTACAGTGTGGAAACAGGCTCTTCGGCCCAACAAGTTCACACCGAACCTCAGAGCATCCCAACCAGACCCATCCCGCTATGACCAACCTAATCTACACCTCCCTGAACACTACAGGCAATTTAGCATGGCCAATCCACCTAACATCTTTGGACTGTGGGAGGAAACCGGAGCACCCGGAGGAAACTCACGCAGACACAGGGAGAATGTACAAACTCCACACAGACAGTCGCCTGAGGCTGGAATCGAACCCAGGTCCCTGGCGCTGTGAGGCAGCAGTGCTAACCACTGTGCCACCGTGCTGCCCTGTTTATTTTTCTGTGATTGAAATTCTGTGCCAAATTCTCTGCACCATACTGTAGTAAAAGGGCAAAACCTTAGATTGTGCAGAGGAAATACACTAGAATGGTACAAAGAGTGAAAAACTTCAATTAGGTGGAGGTTTTAGAGTCATTGAGTCATACAGCATAGAATCAGACACTTCAGACCACCATGTCTTTGCTGACCAATAAATACCAAACTAAACTAATCCTATTTATCTGACCCTAGTCCATAGCCTACTGTGCCCTGGCATTTTAAGTAATCATCCAGGTGCTTCTTTAATGTTGAGAGAGTATGTGCCTCTACCACCCTCGCAGGCAGAATGTTCCATACTTCTGCCACCCAATGGGTGAACAAGATTTTCATCAGATCTCCTCTAAATCATTTATTGCTCACCTTAAATTTATGTCCTTTGGTCTTAGACACATCTACTATGGGAAAAAAGATTCTCACAATTTACTCTGTTTATGCCTCTCTTAATTTTGTACACCTCAAATCAGATACCAACTCTGCTTCCTCTGCTCCAAGGAAAAACCTAGCCCCCATAGTCTCTCCTCATAACTGAGACTTTTCATCCTAGGCAACATCCTGGTGAATCTCATCTGTACCCTGTCCAGTGCAATCACATCCTTCCAATAGTGTGGCAACCAGAACTGCAAATCTATTCCAATGACATTTTACCAATGTTTTATAAAGTCGGAACAAAATTTCCTTGCTCCTATTTTCTATGCCCTGGCTAATGAAGCAAGCATCATGTATGTCTTCTTCACCACCCTGACCACCAGTGCTGACACCTTCAGGGCTCTATGGACTTGTACACCAAGGTCCTTTTATTCTTCAGCACTCCCTAGGGACCTACTATTCATTGCATATATCCTTCCTTATCAGACCTCCTAAAATGCAAAACTTTGCACTTAGTGGGGTTGAATTCCATCTGCCATTCCCCTGCCCAATTTATCAGCTGATCAATATCAGACTGTAGCCTGAGACCATCCTCCTCACTATCAACAACAATTTTCATGTCATGTGCAAACTGTGTTACATCACTGGTCACAGGCTTCCAATCACAGAAACAACTCTCCACAATCACTCTTTGCCTCCTATTTAGAGTCATAGAGCTGTACAGCATGGAAACAGACCCTTTGGTTCAACTCATCCATGCCGACAAGATATCTGAAATCAATCTAGCCCCATTTGCCAGCAATTGGCCCATATCCCTCTAAACCTTTCCTATTCATATACCCATCCAGATGCCTTTTAAATGTTGTAATTGTATCAGCCTCCACAACTTCCTCTAGCAGCTCATTCCATACACACACCACCCTCTGCCTGAAAATATTGCCCCTTAGGTCCCTTTAAAATCTTTCCCCTCTCACCTTAAACCTATGCCCTCTAGTTTTGGACTCCCCCACCCCAGGGAAAAGACCTTGGCTATTCACCCTATCCATGCCCATGATTTTGTAAACCTCTTTAAGGTCACCCCTCAGCCTCTGATGTTCCAGGGAAAATAGCCTCAGCCTATTCAGCCTTTCCCTATAGCTAAAACCTTCAACCCTGGCACATCCTTGTAAATCTTTTCTGCACCTGGAAAGTCAAGTACAAGTGGAAATTATACAGAATAGCAGAACCCTTAGGAGTATTGATATGCAGAGGGATCTGGGTGTGCAAGTCCACAGATCACTGAAGGTAGCAGTGCAGGTAGATAAGGTAGTAAGAATGGCTTATGGCATGCTTGCCTTCATTGGGAGGGGCATTGAGTATAAGGATAGACAAGTTATGCTACAGCTTTATAGGACTTTAGTTAGGCCTCACTTGGAATATTGCGTATAGGTCTGGTGACCACACCACCAGAAGGATGTGGATACTTTGGAAAGGGTACAGAAAAGGTTTACCAGGATGTTGCCTGGTCTGGGGGATTTTAGCCATGAAGAAAGGTTGGATAGACTGCATTTGTTTTCACTGGAATGGACGTTGAGGGGTGACTTAATACAAGTTTATAAGATTGTGAATGGTATGGAGAGAGTGGAGAGGTCAATTTTTTTTTTTCTTTATTCATTCACAGGATGAGGGTGCCGCTGGCAAGGCAACATTTATTGCCCATCCCTAGTTATGCAGAGGGTAGTTAAGAGTCAACCACATTGCTGTGAGTCTGGAGTCATGTGTAGACCAGACCAGGTAAGGATGGCAGTTTCCTTCCCTAAAAGACATTAGTGAAGCAGATGGGTTTTTCCCCGACAACTGGCAATGGACTTATGGTTATCATTAGATTCTTAATTCCAGATATTTTATTGAATTCAAATTCCACCATCTGCCATCCACCATCTGGGTCTCTGGATTAACACTGCAGTGATAACACCACTAGGTTATCACCTCCCCTCAAATTACTAGGGGACACAGGTTCAAGGTGTGGGGGTGGGGGGGGAAAGCTTAAAAGAGATGTGCGAGGCAAGTTTTTCACAGAAAGGGTGACGAGTGCCTGGAACGCATTGCCAGAGGTGGCGGTGAAAGCTGATGCAATAGCATCGTTCAAGAAGCATCTGAAATGAATACATGAATTGGAAGGGAATAGAGGGATATGGATCCTATAAATGAAGACAGTTTTAGTATGGAAGTGCAAAATGTGGCGGCTCAGGCTTGGAGGGTCGAAGGGCCTGTTCCTGTACTGTTCTTTGTTGAATCCTTTGAAGGTTCACATCTTTCCTATAGCAGGGGACCAGAACTGAACACAGTATTCCAAGGGTGGCCTAACCGATATCCTCTACAGCCGCAACATGACCTCCCAACTCTTACACTCAAAGTACTATTTGTAAGCTAAATTTCAGATCCTGTTTGCCAACTTGCCTTGGATCCCATGGACAGATAACTTTTGGACCAGCCTTCCGTGTGAAATCTTGTCAAATGCCTTTCTGACGTCAATGTAAACTGCTTCAGCTACATCAGTATAATGAATACACTTGGTCATCTTTTCAAAAACTCAATTACGTTTTCTTAACTTAATTACTGACTAAAGGGGAACTTCTGCAAAACTTCTGGAGTACTGTAGCCTTGTAACCAAAACTACAATTCTACAGGCATTGCCTTAAATCCTTTCTGAACCACCTGCCCACAATCTTAAGCAAGATTTTTTTTCTGAAAGGGTGGTGGGACAGGAAAACTCAACATTTAGCAAGTATTTAGATGAACACTTGAAATGCCATAGAAACAGGGCTATGGACTAAGTAGTAGAAAATGCGATTAGAGTGGATGGGCATTAGATCACCTGCGCAGACAATGGGCCAAAAAGCCACTCGTGCTGTCAAAGGCCTGGAATAATAATCCAGACATAAAAGTGTTCAAATCCCACCATGGTGGTTAGAAAATTTAAATTTAATTAAATTTGGAATTTTAAAAATCCTAAACTGATCACAGCACAAAAGGCCATTTGATCTATCATGTCCATATTGGATCATTGCATGAGTAATTCACCAATCCCTCACACCCACCCATGACCAAAGCCTTGCCTTTTTCTCCCCTCCAGAAAATTACCTAATTCTCTTCTGAATCTGCATTTACCCACATTCAGGATCTGGAATGCAATTTCTAACTGCTTGTTCCATTAAAAAAAGATATTCCTTATGTTGGTATTGCCTCTTTTGCCAATCAATCACTTTAAACTGATGTTTCATTGGTGCACTTTCTTCCTGTTTATTCTACAAGTGTCTCAAAATATCATCTATAAGGCCCCAGTATCACTGTACTCACTAACTGTAGGAAGTGAAACACTGGGTTGTCATCTGGTTTAGGTATCCACTAGGGAGGAAAATTTGCTATCCTTATCTGATATAGCCTATGTGTGACTCCAAACTCTAAGCAGTATGGTGAATTGTTAGTTGTCTTCTAAAATGGCTCGGCAAGCTGTTCAATTTCCTTCCTGAATAAAACTTACCAACATCTTCTCAAGGGCCATGAGGGATGGAATAGATGCTGGTCTTGCCAGCAATGGTGACATTCCATGAATAAATTAAAAAAAAAACCTGTGAGGCATACCACACAATTCATCACTCAGTCAATTTATTTACAATGTACTGAAAAGAAAGTGTGCTCGTATCTATCATGAGAGTTTTTGCTGAATTTCCAACATTGATTTACCTGACAGCTGAGTGCCTTTTCCTTGCAGCATCTGTTGTGTAGGTGGGAAGTGTATCAGAAGATAGTGAATGAATGCCACTGAGAGAATTGTTTTCATTCAAACGAGTCTTTACTTTCTGATGAGAATCCTGGTAATGTAACAGCAGAGTACCCATTTTACTTTTCAAGAGTTATGCATCATCGTGATTGTTTAACACAAGAATTGTATAATGATATAACCCTTTTTAATGTGAAATAAAGACAAATTATTGCACTTGCACTAAAATTAGATAATTAAGTTCAGATAAATGCATGTTGCTTACACCAAAAAAGGAGCCACAAGTACGCAGTCAAGGGCTTCACTTCAGCTCACAGCCACCTTCAGAATCACAATATTTGATTAGAGTTTACTGTGATGATTCAAAATAATTTTCTATTTTAATAAATCCATGATTCATCCAATAATTTAAATGAAGCCATCCAACTAACACAGAATAACAGTATAAAAATATTGTTTTAAATGATTTGGATGCAGTGGGTTTGTACTGAGAATAGGCTGCTTGCAAGCTGGTTTCTGGTGATAGGGGTGGTGAAGAGATTACAGGGATCTAAGAGACATTTCTGGCCAAGCACACACATGCAGCCTGTCCTGGAAAGTGGCTAGAGATTTTGCCCTTTGTTTCCTCAATGCCAGGATCTTCGAGCAAAGTTGTTTCTGTTTATTTTATAATGGTGTTACACTGCTGCTGCTTAAGTCTTTTGAAGTCATGGTGTTGGACACTCATTAGCTTTGAAACAATGCTAATGAGTCTGTTCCATGCTATGCTTACCAGAGTTAGCGCTAAGCAATCTGACGGTCTGATCCCTGGGCTAAATTTTGGTGTTGATATCTCCAGCCATGAATAGCTAACTTAGTACAGGTTGCATATTGAACCTAGGCTTTGGTTATCATCTCAAGTAGGACATGGAACTGCTTGACATTTTAAGTTTTAAAAAAAGTACAAACGCTGTTTCTTTCTTTCAATCTGATGTACTTCAGTGACTCAAACAAGTTTGTTCACCAGAGGTGCGCTCTACAGCCACTCCATCACATATGTAGTCTGGAATCGTTCAGTTGGCTGGACAGCTAGTTGCTATGTGGAGTGATGCTGACAGCATGAGTTCAATTCCTGCACCAGTTGAGGTTACCTTGAAAGAGTGTCCTTCTCAATATCTCCCCCCAGGTGTGATGACCCTCAGGTAAAGCCAGCACTAGTCAACTATCTAATGAGACATCAGCACTATGATCTGGTAAGACCACGGTGACTACCTCTATCTGAAATTGTTAAGCGTATATATCTCATACACATATAATTAGTATATTTATCCACACCTGTAAGCAAGCACCTGAAAAGTAGTGGAGAAGTATTACAAGTGGTACCTTCTTAAGATTATGCTAATCTAGTGGCAAGGAAGATGATCCAAAAGTAGCATCCTCTCCAAAGTCAAAAAGAGTTAATTACTCAAAACCAGTTCTACTGGTAGGACATATAGTTTGCATGCCCTACTCCTGCAGCAACTGCTCGATTTGGAAGTTGCTCGCAGAGGAGACTCCCAGGACGACAGCAAAAACGTTTCAGGGATGACCTCAAAGCATCTGTGAAGAGGTCAAACATCCCTGCCAACTCATGGGAGTGCCTGGTTTGCGACCAACCTAAATGGCGCAGGTTTGTTTGGGAAGCACAGAACACATCTAAATGCTACACTGGGAATGTGCAGAAGCAATGTTGATGCATTGGAGGAATCGTACTTCCCTCCAAACACCTCAATTACCCAACCCTTTTTAGCACTGACTGCTCCACATGTTGCAGTATTCACATTGGATTCTGAGATGGCTGGTAAGTCTATTCAGCCAGAATGAAAGTAATTCATCTCGATCCCAAGGGACTGCAAAAGAGAGAATGACCTTTAAGTAAAATCCCAATGGTAAAACTTCAGCATGTTCCCTGTTCTTCTGTTGCAGTTTCAGTGTAAATTAGAATGAATCTCTTGAGAAATGACATAATCATAAATGGCAAGCAATCTACACTGCCAGATTATAGCTCAGTAAGTGAAGATGAAGACCCACCCCCATGTTTCCAGATTGGGATTCCTGGTACGTATTTGGCTGTTGACGTTAATACACTAAGTTTTGAGAGGAACTTCCAACTGTGGCATTGCAGTGAAAAACTTACCTTCAATACATCTTCACTTGTTTTGCTTTGCCGTGGTGCTAGTTTTGATGTACGAAGTTCAAAGGGCACACATTTGGTCGTCTCCTTCACCTGCTGCTTTCTCCTCACTTCTCTCTGAAAAGCTTTGTAGAGTTTTGCATAATCGGGAACTTCTGGATTTATTCTCGGCTTGAATTTTGGTTTATTTTCCAGGAATCCCAGCTTTTCTTGTCTTGTTTTCATAGAGCTTGATGTGGCCAGCTCCTTTTTATAAGGATGAAGATCAATAGGTGAAGAAGCACTTTTCAGCAAGTCTGCAGCTCGCATCTGTATGCGGATCTTTCTGAACAGTTCCTCTTCTTTAATAAAAAGAGATAGGAAGAAAAAAAAACTGCAGTTTAATCGATGTATACTTAGCAATACACTTGGTAGCATCTGTAGGTGATACCACGGCATTGAGGAAATAAACAAAATTCAGACTCCAACACTGCACAATTGGAATTTCAGCTGTGCTATTATGAAGAATTGCTAAGCAGAGGTCTAGTCTCCCATTAGGAAAGTTGTCTAAGATTTCAGCTTAGTCAGTTTTGAATATCAGAAAAGAATTCTTAACTGCCAGCATGGATCTGACAGACGTAATTGAAAATCAAATATATAATGTGTTTTGGAACATGTAAACATTCAACAACTGCATATAATAGGCAGCAGCATCTTAGTTTGTTCTCAAGATTTCTACAGCAAATGTCCAATCTTGTACACTGGAAGAGTCAGGGTCAGAGCAAGAGCCAGAAACAAAACCACAATGAAGATAAAAATAATTAGATTTCCTATCTCCACTTCTGCCATTGACTGCTCTCAGGCAGCTCCTATTTCTAGTCCAGAGCTGCATAGGCAGATGCCAGAGATCAGGTTTCTATTCCATCTGGAGATGACGTGTGCCATGGGAAATTCTGTTTTTGTTCCTATGTGTAGCGTGACCTGAATACTTCAGCACAACGTAGACTAGTCATTGTAAATATGTATTGCAATCAGTTACTCAGATTACCTTTTAGCTTCTCGCTTACTGTTGGATCTTGAACAGACAGTGGAATTTTCTTTATCTGTTTTGCCTTCTTCACGGTTTCTGGTGTGGCTTCACTGATCTGTAGTTTCAACTTCTCCTTCTCTTTTTTCTCCTCCTCCTCCTTTTCGGTAAAACTAAATGGCTTCTGTGTGGACATCAGGAATTCTTTCCGCTTCTCTCGTCCTCTTCTTCTCTTTTCCTCATTCTGTTCATTCATTTCTTCATAAAGTTGCAGATAAACATGAGCCGGTACAGGAAGAGCCCGGAATTTCTTCTGGCATTCTGCCTCTTCCTGTTCCCGTGTTTCCAATAGCTCCTTCTCTATTTCCAGCAATAGCCTGGATCTGAGAAGTTGAGTCTTCTTTTGACTTTCCCGCACCGTCATGTTGAATGGCTGAGGAACTGCAAAGAACAATTCAATAAGAAAGTACATATACAGTCTGGTGCTACACAAATTCTTTCCAGGTTGTTAAACTATCCATAACTCATTGCATGCATTGAATTCCACTGTTCCTAATTACTTAGAGTTCACAGCACAGAAATCAGCCATTTAGCCTAACTGGTCTATGCCACTCACTATTCTCCATAGGAGCCACACCTACTTTTCATTACCTCATTCTGTCAACTTATCTTTCTATTTCCTTCTCCCTCGTGTACTTGTCTAGGATTTCCTTAAAAGCAGTGACTTTATCCACCTCAACCACACACTGTGGTAGCAATTCCATATTCTAACCATTTTACGTAATGAAATTGTTCATAGGCACAGGAATAGACTATGCCGTGCCCCTAAGCTTACACCACTATTCAATAATATCATGGCTTATTTTCTGCATCAACTCCACTTTTCTGCTAACTCCTCATATACCAAGATCCCCTCAGCAAACAAACATTTGTCTATCTCAGACAACAAGGTGCAGGGCTGGATGAACACAGCAGGCCAAGCAGCAT